TGTCCCCAGAGCCCTTTGATTCTCATGCCAAGGCCCTGCCGGCTAAGAGGAGCAAAAAGGGCTATGGGGATGAGAATGCGCACTGGTCTGATAAACTAGTGCCAGACCCCTATTGGGAAATCATGTACGGTGTCCAGTCCCTTATTTGTAGCCTTTTGCTTTAGAAAGTTATTGATCACCGGAGGGAAACCGCTAAGCAAAATATAATTATGCCAAACTACAGAACAGAGGTACTAAATTGGAAAGCATGCAGACCTAGCTATGAGCTATAAACATTTGTTATCACACCGTAGTCAAATGGATTCGACACGGATACCCGTACTTCATTTAAACTCCTCTTTATAACACTTCATTTGAACTCCTCTTAATAACACAGCGTACCATACCCATTTAGAAACTGAGTTCATATTAGTTGCCTCGAGACAGAAGATATCAACATTTCTTGAAATTCCTTCTTTCAGTATATTAATGACCATCCAGAGAAGCAGGTATCATCTACGAAATCTCGTGGTGTGCACATCAATCAAAATATGAACTGGGAATGTCATATACAAAACATTTGCAAAAAGATTGCTTCTGCATTGGGTGCAATTAAGTGAATACGACATCTGATACCCTTTAATATATTAATTACTGTACATGACAGCCTAGTTTAACCATATTTTTATTACTGTAGTGTGGTCTGGGGCAACTGAAGCTGTGGTCTCTCTGAAAAGCTTCAGAAGATCCAANTTTATTCGGGAAAATTTCCAGTGGAACGAACCAAAAAGTCGTGTTCCATTTACATCCCAACCGGAATTTCCGGAATGTTCTGGTAAATGGAAAACGCTCCCTATGTCCCCAGAGCCCTTTGATTCTCATGCCAAGGCCCTGCCGGCTAAGAGGAGCAAAAAGGGCTATGGGGACGAGAATGCGCACTGGTCTGATAAACTAGTGCCAGACCCCTATTGGGAAATCATGCACGGCGTCCAGTCCCTTATTTGTAGCCTTTTGCTATAGAAAGTTATTGATCACCGGAGGGAAACCGCTAAGCAAAATATAATTATGCCAAACTACAGAACAGAAGTACTAAATTGGAAAGCATGCAGACCTAGCTATGAGCTATAAACATTTGTTATCACACCGTAGTCAAACGGATTCGACACGGATACCAGTACTTCATTAAAACTCCTCTTTATAACACTTCATTTGAACTCCTCTTAATAACACAGCGTACCATACCCATTTAAAAACTGAGTTCATATTAGTTGCGTCAAGACAGAAGATATCAACATTTCTTGAAATTCCTTCTTTCAGTATAAATGACCATCCAGAGAAGCAGGTATCATCTACGAAATCTCATGGTGTGCACATCAATCAAAATATGAACTGGGAATGTCATATACAGAACATTTGAAAAAAAGATTGCTTCTGCATTGGGCACAATTAAGTGAATACGACATCTTATACCCTTTAATATATTAATTACTGTACATGACAGCCTAGTTTAACCATATTTTTATTACTGTAGTGTGGTCTGGGGCAACTGAAGCAGTGGTCTCTCTGAAAAGCTTCAGAAGATCCAAAATTGTGCAGCCCGTATTTTAATGTGTTCCAATCAATTATGTCTTTAATATTGATCAAATGTTCTGGGCACTGCGTTGGCATAAACTCAAATATCAAAGATTTAAATCAGCTGCTGTTATGACGTACAAATCTTTACATGGGATGACCCCTGTGTATCTGAGTTCTAGATTTGTGTTTCGAAACGGCATAACATCGTATCAATTAAGGAATACTGAAAATAAATTGGCTCTTCCGCAGCCCGGCGCCAATTATTTGAAGAAGAGTTTCTCTTGCAGCAGAGCGAGGTTGTGGAATAGCCTATCCAGTGACCTTCATGCAAAAACATCTTTACATGATTTTAAACTTAACATACGTCACCACAGTTTTGAATGAGTTTAAACACGGCATCCTTGGAAAGCAGCTCTTATAAGTATGTAGTTTCGGTCAGTTAGATTAGTTAGGGATAATAAGTTGATCTTTTATCATTTTATAATCTTTGCTGAAGGATTTACCGTGTATAAATTAAGTTACCATTACCATTACAGACCTCACTGTTCCCTTGTGAAAATAGACGCCTCCACACAGGCTATGTTTTGAACAAATCATATAGTTTTGATTACCTCATGTTTGAACATGATGAACAGAGGTTACTTTGTTTAAGGAAATCAAATGTTCATAACCACATGGTCATTGATATAGAGCAAAGTAAGGAGAGGATCAAAAAACAATCAACCAATCAAGTTATGAAATACCTGTACTAGTTGCAACTTATAACAACTGTATAAGTTGTGTGAATCTGATTTAAAATGTACAGAAACAGAACTCAACTCATAATTAAATTTATGCTGATCATATGTAGACTACCAATAGTTCCTCTTTCACTTAGTCCATCAAGCGAGACCATGAATAGACTGCAAGGAAAAAATGGTCGTGTTAAATCCTTGGGTCGAGAAGCGCTTCTTGCCCCCAGGATTTCACCCAGCCATTTTTTCTTGCGGTTCTTATTTGCGTCACACTCGACAGACGAGGCAAGACCAATTAGAGAGGGACTACCCATAGTCTAGATGAAATGATAACTTTGGAACTATGGTGTAGAAAAAACTGCATGTAGTTAAATAAATAGCAATTTAATGAAAGCTAGTTCATTACCTGNCAAATTAAGGAGAGGATCAAAAAACAATCAACCAATCAAGTTGTGAAATACCTGTACTAGTTGCAACTTACAACAACTGAATAAGTTGTGTGAATCTAATTTAAAGGTACAGAAACAGAACTCAACTCATGAATAATTTATGCTCCTCTGATCATATGTAGACTACAAGTAGTTCCTCTTTCAGTTAGTCCATTAAGCGAGACCATGAATAGACTGCAAGGAAAAAATGGTCATGTAAAATCCTTGGGTCGAGAAGCGCTTCATGCCCCTAGGATTTCACCCAGCCATTTTTTCTTGCGGTTCTTATTTGCGTCACACTCGACAGATGAAGCAACACCAATTAGAGAGGGACTACGCATATTCTAGATGAAATGATAACTTTGGAACTATGGTGCAGAAAAAACTGCATGTAGTTAAATAAATAGCAATTTCATGAAAGCTAGTTCATTACCTTGGATATTTTTGTTGAATCTGTTGTAGTATCTTCTAAAACTGCTTGAAGGACTGCATTTGCTATCTGTTCTGCCTTGCTGAGATCCCCATCTTTGATTGCATTATTAAAGTCGCTGTCATTTGCTGTTATACGTTTGCTGATTTGATCTGGTCTCAAGAGCTCTGGAAATGGTTCAACCTACAGGAATATTCATGTGCAATATGTGACAACATACCGGTACTGGTTGTTAAAAGTTACAACCTGTCATTTAATATGCATGTAATGTGATGCAAGAGTTAATGTAATCAAAGATATAATATACCTGCACAGATAGATGAACTCTTGGAGCAGACACGCCATTTTTGTCAGTCACTGTGACATTGAACTTCACAGTATAATTCCAAGACAGCTTTCCAGATGGCAGCCATGAGTTAA